AGTGAAAATAAATTTGTTTTATTTTCACTTCCAAAAGATGAGGCTGCAAAGAATCAGTGGTTAAAATAATTTTTTTCCACTGTACCACAGCAGTACAACCCCAGACTTTGTTCCCGGCATTTTACTGACAACTACTTCTCTAATATCGGGGAGTTCAATGCGGGATTCACAAAACGCTTGCTCTTGAAAGATGGCTCAGTACCTAGTTCCTGGTTTATTAGGACCAGCTGGCTTCACTGAATCACAACCTGTAAGTATGATAAATAATAGATGTTTATATTTTCTATCGAGCGATCAAAATATGGAACTATGGCAATGAGCGTATAGTTTCTGACACGCTCTGTACGCGGTAGACCAATCATAACAGACTGGGCCATCTGACCAATCAGAGCAGAGTAGGCTCATTGAAAGGATGGGTTTAGAGAGAATGAAATTCGAGAATCGCTGGAAAGTGAGGTGATATTAATTGCATATTTTGAGAACCTTTCATGAATGTAAACCTGTTGTAGGAGACTCAAAATAATATTATGAACCTTAAAAATGGCACTTTAACATAATTTTACAGCAGTGTCACCCACAGAATTTTTTTTTTTTTTTTTTCACATCTTTATTTCCTGGTGCTAGAAGGAAATCTGATAATGTAAAATAGTCATATGAATGTTTTGCTTTATTTGACCTGGTGATCCCTTGAAAAATATTTTTTTTTATTGTGGCTTCTTGTTGTTGATCATAAAAGTCACGTTTTTGGTGTTCCATTGGTGATGGAATGGTGATAGCAAGAGGAGATTCTTACCTGTGATTAAAATTACACTTAAAGGTCTTCCAAATACACACAGAAAATAATAATAAAAAAAGAGTTACGTTATGAAATTGTATTATTAAAGTACCCCTGTTATGCCATTTGGAATATTGCCTTTCATGCAGTGTGTAATGTAGCTGTATGTGAATGTAAATGATCTGCAAAGTTTTAAAGCCAAAAGTCCATGATAAATAAAGTTTTTGTCTCCTAAAAGAAAGAATCGACTCTGAACAGCCTAAAAGAGTAATTCGAATCCCACTTCATGGTGTAACACATTTGTATAATGGCTGCCTATTTGCTACATTGGCTGGCCGCGAGCAAGTTGACCCACCTTGAACACTGTAGCTTTTTTTGTGTGGTTAACATCATGTCGAAAAGACACTGTGTCCTACGAAGTGAAAATAAATTTGTTTTATTTTCACTTCCAAAAGATGAGGCTGCAAAGAATCAGTGGTTAAAATAATTTTTTTCCACTGTACCACAGCAGTACAACCCCAGACTTTGTTCCCGGCATTTTACTGACAACTACTTCTCTAATATCGGGGAGTTCAATGCGGGATTCACAAAACGCTTGCTCTTGAAAGATGGCTCAGTACCTAGTTCCTGGTTTATTAGGACCAGCTGGCTTCACTGAATCACAACCTGTAAGTATGATAAATAATAGATGTTTATATTTTCTATCGAGCGATCAAAATATGGAACTATGGCAATGAGCGTATAGTTTCTGACACGCTCTGTACGCGGTAGACCAATCATAACAGACTGGGCCATCTGACCAATCAGAGCAGAGTAGGCTCATTGAAAGGATGGGTTTAGAGAGAATGAAATTCGAGAATCGCTGGAAAGTGAGGTGATATTAATTGCATATTTTGAGAACCTTTCATGAATGTAAACCTGTTGTAGGAGACTCAAAATAATATTATGAACCTTAAAAATGGCACTTTAACATAATTTTACAGCAGTGTCACCCACAGAATTTTTTTTTTTTTTTTTTGCAGCCCTCTGCCCATTTTAGTAACATAATTACATTTTTAACTAAATAGCAATAAATAAATAATTTAATTTATTATAAAAATTATTTTCAGGATTTTCTTTAGCTAAGCCTATATATCATTATATGAATAACCAGTCAGTAATTATGCTGAATTAAAAAGTGAGTCGGATGGTAGGAAGCTGCATTGTTTTGAGTTTTACGTGCATGTGACTGAATTTTGTGTGTTGTGTTTTCCAGTGCCAGTAGCTGAAGGAGGTCATGGAGCCATCGGACTGTCACAGAGAACTGACCCCTGCCTCTCACCCATCCCAAATTTCAGAGGTCAGCATGGTTCTGGAAGGGTCAAACGATGTCCTCAGCAGTGGGGGTGAATCTGATTTAAAAGAACAGGAGGAAGACACTGAGCTGGACAGTCTTGAGCTGCATGGTACTCTTTCAGATAGTGTGGACAGAGAAGGTCAGAGACCAGACATGCACATGGAGGTCCAGCGAGATGAAGGACTTGGAGAACATGCCCTGGGTGATGGGAACACTAGCTGTGACAGTGGAACAGCCTCCATTGATGATGCCAGGTCTCCACCAGCTGTTCACGACAGTGCTGTGGAATCACTTCCTGCTGTTCTCGATGGAGAATTCGAATGTTCTGACCTTGAAGAACCAGCGGAGGTGGTTCCAGAATCAGAAGGTGGGACTCGCAATGAAGTTGAGGAATCTTCTCCCTCTGTACTGAATGGGACAGATGATATTTCATCCACACATATGTTCAATGGGCCAACAGACCTTAACAGAACTCCTTTGACTCTAACAACTCCAGATGTTGTTTCAGTACCCCAAAACTCGCAATCCAACTCCAACATGAACCCGTATGACACGGACTGCAGCAGAAAACTGTTGTCTGAGATCCAGCGCTCTCTGTCTCAGGAGTCTCTGCTGGATGAGCTGGAGGATGAGCTGTTGAACAGTCAGTCAGATGGCATGCGCAAGGGAAGTCCTCCCAATGGGCTTCAGAAGGACCAGAACTCCATGGTTCTATTTGAGAAGTGTGTACAATACAAGTACTCCCAACAGGAGAAAGCCATCAAGAGGTAGGCTGTTGATTAATAGCTCATTCAATCATCTCTCGAGAGGTTATAGTCCATTGCTGTTTGATTTATAGCAGCAGGAGATGGTAAATCATTAGTTTAATTTGACGTTCTTACCTGCATGAAAATTACACTTCACTGTCTTTCATTGCCAGTGTGTGGCAATATTCACACATTGACCCCCCATAAACATCAGCTAATCAAGGGAAATTAGTTCATGAATTATCAGGATTATATAAGTTTCTATAAAATAGATAATAATTTTTTTAAATATTATAATAGAAATATGTTTTGTCCTCCACACGTTTTTGTAAAATATTTAATCCTTTTTTTTTAAATAATAAAAATAATGAATATTTAATCTATTATAAAATATATTTTGGATTTTGTTCAGTTTAACTAGGCCTATTATTATATGAATAATTAATTACCCAGTAATTATACTTAATTTAATTGAGTCAGATGATAATTTGCATACACACAGACAGTTTTGAGAGTCGTGAATGATTTGTTAGGATGATTCCAAACAATTCTGTAGTCTGTTGTGAGTCTTTTTGACTGTTTCATTGAAAGAACAGGCAAAGAGTTATGAATCAAACTACGATGTTTGTGCTTTGTGTTTGTTTTTGCATCCAGCTACTGAAGACCATGCAATAGAATTACATTGGCTTTGTCTTATTTCATGATTCATTGCCTGTTTAACTCATTAAATTTAATTCAGACTGCTGTTTCACAACTCTGGTGAAATATGATTTATTTTGCTATGGTGCTAATGCTACTGATTATTTTATGCTGTGATCAACCTTCGCCTGTCTGCTCTAAAACCCCCTCCTGTTCTGGCTTCATTAATTTTTGCAAGGGCATCTGGCCGACTTACATATTGGAACCGGTCCGCAGCTCTGCTGTGCTTGGCCTGCTGTTAATATTGTCTGATGTGTGATGCTCACAGACACCTGTTCCCTCTACTAATATCACATGGTCTTTTCTACATTGACACATATTGGTGCCTAATACTTTACTGAAAACAATTAGTTTTTGTCCTTGATGTGGTTTAGATAAACAGTTTTATACAAGAATTCTTCTCATTGACAAGCAAATAACAGATGGACACAACAGAAGCAGTGTTATTTCACAGTACAACAGCTCCAGCATGTTACAATGAGCTAGCATTGGTAGTGACAGCTAGTAACTGTTTTTCAGATTACTTGATGAGAATAAGAAACATCAGGAGCTGATTCTGGGCATCTGCTCTGAGAAAGACAACATGAGGGATGAGCTGAAGAAGAGGATGGAGACAGAGAAACAACATCTTTGCACCATTAAGAAAGTAATGGCAACCATAAATTGTTTGTGTGTATGTGTCTTCATTTGTTGTTTTTTTTGTGTATTTTTGGATAACCTGACTATCTATTTGTCCAACCATGAATACAAGGAAGCGTTCAAGAAACATTGTTGTAAAGATTAAACAGTTTAGCTTGAAATTTGCTTTAATTTTCATATATTGTCCAAAGGTTATGTATATACGCTACTGAAAGTGTGAAGTCAATTAGAATAAATAGGATTCCATTTTTTTTTTTAAATGTTTATGAAATAAATCTCTATTGCTCACCAAGGCTGCATTTATTTAATCAAAAATACATTAAAACAGTAATATTGTGAAATATTATTACAATTTAAGACAAGTGTGGCCAAGGTCCATTCTTGCACACTGGTTAACTCTCACAGTAAGCTCCTAAAATAGGCCTATATTGTAACACTCATCCTGATAGTATTCATAACACATTCTAGATTATCCTGCTGGAGAGCTTCTGCTCCAGTTTCACTCATTCAGTGTGAATCACAGTGTCTTTTTCCACCGTGCCAAACAGCATTCCCTTTTGTGCGCTCCAGTGTCATCTATAGGCATTTAGCTGGGAATGCAGTTATCCACTGAATGCGAATACAATGACGTATTAGGCAAGTAGGGTGTGAAAGGTGTAAGGCCACCTTAGTTTCACAATACTGGCATCACAAAACTGCCTACAGGTGGAAGGAGAGCCGTGTTCCTATTTTACGAGGGAGTACCACACCTCCATCATGGAAATGTGTGGGCTGAGACAGTTAATTTAGTAAATTACTACTTGCTCTATTAATGGCAGTGACCCAACAGCAGGTGTGACGAGACTGATTGCATAAACATTGTACACAACTTCACAACAACATCTTTATTTATTTATCACATCTTTATTTCCTGGTGCTAGAAGGAAATCTGATAATGTAAAATAGTCATATGAATGTTTTGCTTTATTTGACCTGGTGATCCCTTGAAAAATATTTTTTTTTATTGTGGCTTCTTGTTGTTGATCATAAAAGTCACGTTTTTGGTGTTCCATTGGTGATGGAATGGTGATAGCAAGAGGAGATTCTTACCTGTGATTAAAATTACACTTAAAGGTCTTCCAAATACACACAGAAAATAATAATAAAAAAAGAGTTACGTTATGAAATTGTATTATTAAAGTACCCCTGTTATGCCATTTGGAATATTGCCTTTCATGCAGTGTGTAATGTAGCTGTATGTGAATGTAAATGATCTGCAAAGTTTTAAAGCCAAAAGTCCATGATAAATAAAGTTTTTGTCTCCTAAAAGAAAGAATCGACTCTGAACAGCCTAAAAGAGTAATTCGAATCCCACTTCATGGTGTAACACATTTGTATAATGGCTGCCTATTTGCTACATTGGCTGGCCGCGAGCAAGTTGACCCACCTTGAACACTGTAGCTTTTTTTGTGTGGTTAACATCATGTCGAAAAGACACTGTGTCCTACGAAGTGAAAATAAATTTGTTTTATTTTCACTTCCAAAAGATGAGGCTGCAAAGAATCAGTGGTTAAAATAATTTTTTTCCACTGTACCACAGCAGTACAACCCCAGACTTTGTTCCCGGCATTTTACTGACAACTACTTCTCTAATATCGGGGAGTTCAATGCGGGATTCACAAAACGCTTGCTCTTGAAAGATGGCTCAGTACCTAGTTCCTGGTTTATTAGGACCAGCTGGCTTCACTGAATCACAACCTGTAAGTATGATAAATAATAGATGTTTATATTTTCTATCGAGCGATCAAAATATGGAACTATGGCAATGAGCGTATAGTTTCTGACACGCTCTGTACGCGGTAGACCAATCATAACAGACTGGGCCATCTGACCAATCAGAGCAGAGTAGGCTCATTGAAAGGATGGGTTTAGAGAGAATGAAATTCGAGAATCGCTGGAAAGTGAGGTGATATTAATTGCATATTTTGAGAACCTTTCATGAATGTAAACCTGTTGTAGGAGACTCAAAATAATATTATGAACCTTAAAAATGGCACTTTAACATAATTTTACACCAGTGTCACCCACAGATTTTTTTTTTTTTTTTTTTGCAGCCCTCTGCCCATTTTAGTAACATAATTACATTTTTAACTAAATAGCAATAAATAAATAATTTAATTTATTATAAAAATTATTTTCAGGATTTTCTTTAGCTAAGCCTATATATCATTATATGAATAACCAGTCAGTAATTATGCTGAATTAAAAAGTGAGTCGGATGGTAGGAAGCTGCATTGTTTTGAGTTTTACGTGCATGTGACTGAATTTTGTGTGTTGTGTTTTCCAGTGCCAGTAGCTGAAGGAGGTCATGGAGCCATCGGACTGTCACAGAGAACTGACCCCTGCCTCTCACCCATCCCAAATTTCAGAGGTCAGCATGGTTCTGGAAGGGTCAAACGATGTCCTCAGCAGTGGGGGTGAATCTGATTTAAAAGAACAGGAGGAAGACACTGAGCTGGACAGTCTTGAGCTGCATGGTACTCTTTCAGATAGTGTGGACAGAGAAGGTCAGAGACCAGACATGCACATGGAGGTCCAGCAAGATGAAGGACTTGGAGAACATGCACAGGGTGATGGGAACACAAGCTGTGACAGTGGAACAGCCTCCATTGATGATGCCAGGTCTCCACCAGCTGTTCACGACAGTGCTGTGGAATCACTTCCTGCTGTTCTCGATGGAGAATTCGAATGTTCTGACCTTGAAGAACCAGCGGAGGTGGTTCCAGAATCAGAAGGTGGGACTCGCAATGAAGTTGAGGAATCTTCTCCCTCTGTACTGAATGGGACAGATGATATTTCATCCACACATATGTTCAATGGGCCAACAGACCTTAACAGAACTCCTTTGACTCTAACAACTCCAGATGTTGTTTCAGTACCCCAAAACTCGCAATCCAACTCCAACATGAACCCGTATGACACGGACTGCAGCAGAAAACTGTTGTCTGAGATCCAGCGCTCTCTGTCTCAGGAGTCTCTGCTGGATGAGCTGGAGGATGAGCTGTTGAACAGTCAGTCAGATGGCATGCGCAAGGGAAGTCCTCCCAATGGGCTTCAGAAGGACCAGAACTCCATGGTTCTATTTGAGAAGTGTGTACAATACAAGTACTCCCAACAGGAGAAAGCCATCAAGAGGTAGGCTGTTGATTAATAGCTCATTCAATCATCTCTCGAGAGGTTATAGTCCATTGCTGTTTGATTTATAGCAGCAGGAGATGGTAAATCATTAGTTTAATTTGACGTTCTTACCTGCATGAAAATTACACTTCACTGTCTTTCATTGCCAGTGTGTGGCAATATTCACACATTGACCCCCCATAAACATCAGCTAATCAAGGGAAATTAGTTCATGAATTATCAGGATTATATAAGTTTCTATAAAATAGATAATAATTTTTTTAAATATTATAATAGAAATATGTTTTGTCCTCCACACGTTTTTGTAAAATATTTAATCCTTTTTTTTTAAATAATAAAAATAATGAATATTTAATCTATTATAAAATATATTTTGGATTTTGTTCAGTTTAACTAGGCCTATTATTATATGAATAATTAATTACCCAGTAATTATACTTAATTTAATTGAGTCAGATGATAATTTGCATACACACAGACAGTTTTGAGAGTCGTGAATGATTTGTTAGGATGATTCCAAACAATTCTGTAGTCTGTTGTGAGTCTTTTTGACTGTTTCATTGAAAGAACAGGCAAAGAGTTATGAATCAAACTACGATGTTTGTGCTTTGTGTTTGTTTTTGCATCCAGCTACTGAAGACCATGCAATAGAATTACATTGGCTTTGTCTTATTTCATGATTCATTGCCTGTTTAACTCATTAAATTTAATTCAGACTGCTGTTTCACAACTCTGGTGAAATATGATTTATTTTGCTATGGTGCTAATGCTACTGATTATTTTATGCTGTGATCAACCTTCGCCTGTCTGCTCTAAAACCCCCTCCTGTTCTGGCTTCATTAATTTTTGCAAGGGCATCTGGCCGACTTACATATTGGAACCGGTCCGCAGCTCTGCTGTGCTTGGCCTGCTGTTAATATTGTCTGATGTGTGATGCTCACAGACACCTGTTCCCTCTACTAATATCACATGGTCTTTTCTACATTGACACATATTGGTGCCTAATACTTTACTGAAAACAATTAGTTTTTGTCCTTGATGTGGTTTAGATAAACAGTTTTATACAAGAATTCTTCTCATTGACAAGCAAATAACAGATGGACACAACAGAAGCAGTGTTATTTCACAGTACAACAGCTCCAGCATGTTACAATGAGCTAGCATTGGTAGTGACAGCTAGTAACTGTTTTTCAGATTACTTGATGAGAATAAGAAACATCAGGAGCTGATTCTGGGCATCTGCTCTGAGAAAGACAACATGAGGGATGAGCTGAAGAAGAGGATGGAGACAGAGAAACAACATCTTTGCACCATTAAGAAAGTAATGGCAACCATAAATTGTTTGTGTGTATGTGTCTTCATTTGTTGTTTTTTTTGTGTATTTTTGGATAACCTGACTATCTATTTGTCCAACCATGAATACAAGGAAGCGTTCAAGAAACATTGTTGTAAAGATTAAACAGTTTAGCTTGAAATTTGCTTTAATTTTCATATATTGTCCAAAGGTTATGTATATACGCTACTGAAAGTGTGAAGTCAATTAGAATAAATAGGATTCCATTTTTTTTTTAAATGTTTATGAAATAAATCTCTATTGCTCACCAAGGCTGCATTTATTTAATCAAAAATACATTAAAACAGTAATATTGTGAAATATTATTACAATTTAAGACAAGTGTTTCTATTTGAATATATTTTAACAGTGGTTCCCAACCCTGGTCCTGGAGGCACCCCAACACTGCACATTTTGCATGTCTCCTGTCTCTGACACACCAGTTTCAGGTCTTGAAGTCTCTACTAATGAGCTGATGACCTGAATCAGGTGTGTTTAATTAAGGAGACATGCAAAACGTGCAGTGTTGGGGTGCCTCCAGGACCAGGGTTGGGAACCACTTTTTCATATATTGTCCAAAGGTTATGTATATACGCTACTGAAAGTGTGAAGTCAATTAGAATAAATAGGATTCCATTTTTTTTTTTAAATGTTTATGAAATAAATCTCTATTGCTCACCAAGGCTGCATTTATTTAATAAAAAATACATTAAAACAGTAATATTGTGAAATATTATTACAATTTAAGACAAGTGTTTCTATTTGAATATATTTTAACAGTGGTTCCCAACCCTGGTCCTGGAGGCACCCCAACACTGCACATTTTGCATGTCTCCTGTCTCTGACACACCAGTTTCAGGTCTTGAAGTCTCTACTAATGAGCTGATGACCTGAATCAGGTGTGTTTAATTAAGGAGACATGCAAAACGTGCAGTGTTGGGGTGCCTCCAGGACCAGGGTTGGGAACCACAGTATTTTAAAATGTAATTTATTTGTGTATGGCAAAGCTGAATTTTCAGCAGCCATAACTCCAGTCTTAAATGTCACATGATCACTCTAATGTTCTGATTTGGTGCTTAAGAAACATTTATTATTATTATAGGCCTAAATGTTGAAAACAGTTGTGCTGCTTAATATTGTTGATACATTTCTTTCAGGATTCTTTGGTGTATAGAAATCTTTGTTTAGATCAATTTAATGCATCCCTACTGAATCATTTCTTTCAGGAAACAAATCCTAATGACCCCAAACCCTTGAACAGTTGTGTATATCCATGCTCTCATTACTACTCATTTCTAGTGTATCCAGATTTTAGGTATGTTCAGCTCAATGGCATTATTTGTTATTTAAATGCCTTTTCAGTATGTGAATGGCCATCCATGACTGTGCCTTGTTGCACTGATTAGAGAACACTTGTTTGCTGAAGAGCTTTCATCCGATTCTGGAAAAGCGGGTTTGTTTGAGAGCGACTCCAGGCTAAGAGAGACCGTAGTTTCGCTCAATCAGAAAGAGCCCCATGTCACAGAAGGTAATAGCACAGATCAAACAGAGTGGCCTTTGGGGGGGAACAGGTTGAGAAACCATAATTAAGTGTTGCAGTAATGATGACGTGGAACTAATGTGTGCATTTTGCTGTCATGGTTTCTCCTCATAGTCAGAACAGGCATTTGAGGCCACACCGCCAAATCCTTCATCTGAATGACACCTTGCCTGTCTGTTTACTTTCATTCAATAGTAGCACTGTGAAGAAGACTGAACACTTGGTTCCTACACATGGTTTTCAGAAAAGGAACGGTTTATTTTTTGAAACCTGAATGGAGCCTTTGTCACTAATTTAAATTTAAATTTTAGTTTGAATCTATTTTCATAAGCTGTCCAGAACTTGACATTTAAATGAAGACGCAGGTCATATTGAACTCACTGGATGTGTAAACACTGATCTCTTTCGGATTAGCTACTGTCTGTCAGAGCTGCCTCTTTTGTCGTCATTATGAATGATTATGGTTACCACAGTCACGGCCTTTTAACTGTTTCCCTCTCTTGTTTCACCAGTTTGAAAGCCGGTTGGAGGAACTTATGAAGGAACTAAAAGACTCCAGAGACAAACTGGTTCACCAGGATCAGGCCGCTAAGAATGCCATCCAGCAGTTGCAGAGGGAGATGACCTATCGACTTGAACAGGTGAGAGGTCATCGCCATGGAGACACTCCAGACAAAGCCTTTCTTGCATAAGAGCACTGGCTAAATTACTTCTAAATCAGTCTGTGCTCTTTGTGTAGCAGCGTCTTTAAAATGAAATCATGTCAGTCTTGCAATCTTGTTTGCACAAAGTGAAAGAGGGTCATTAGGATGTCAAGTGCTGGGTTTTCATTTGTCTTTTTGTCCTCATCCTTTTTAATTCCACACAACTGTGGGTAAATGTAAAGTCCAGAATTCAGATATTGAGGACTACGTCATAAAAATTTTGGAAAGAGCTGTGTTTGGTTTGGCAGGACTTGTTCAAACAGCCCCTCACTCTCATGTAAACTCCTCAGTCAAGTGCGAGGGCCTCTCTTTTGCTCTTTCACTGTCATTAGACACATCAAATATGTCCAAGTTTTCATAGAATGGTGTACTGTATATTCGGGCTGGTAACTGGATGGTTGTAGGTTCTGATCTCACATGATCCATAAACAATGTTTGTTCATGTGTTAACAGGCCAATAAGAAATATGAGGAGGCACGGCAGGAGAAGGAGACAATGGTGATGAAGTATGTTCGAGGCGAAAAGGAAGCTCTGGACCTGCGGAGGGAAAAGGAACAGCTGGAGAAGAAGCTACGGGAGGCCACATCAGAAGTAGACAAACAGGCCCGGCGGGGAAACACACTGGCCCAAGAGAAAGGACGTCTGCAGCAGCTTTATGACGCCAAGGTCATACATGAAAATACAGTTTACCTTGATGCTTGATATGGTGTGTGAATCTACAGTATGCACTGATTGTGTATAGGTTCTCAGGAGTGTTTGTCTTTGATTACTTTTCTATAGGAGAATGAAGTGACGAGACTTTCCCGTGAACTGGAGAAAGTCAAGGAAGAAATCAATTCTCATGTCATCAAAGTAAAGTGGGCACAGAACAAGCTGAAGAGCGAAACGGATGCTCACAAGGTAAACCAGAGAACACTGTGAATACAGACTTAAAGGCTGTTCACACTAAGCATGAATTATAAACTAAAACTATAAAATGTTAATAGTCATTCTAATTCTATGAGAATACTATCTATATCACAGCTATAACACTAACAACACAGAGGAATGATATCGTTGGAATTACTTTTGGAATGATTTTTCCAGGTGAAGAACGTTGAAAAATATTGACAACCAATCAGAATACACCCAATTTGAAAAAGCCTGTGCATTTAAAGCAGAAGGAAATAATTTAAATCAAGGAACTTTGTTGCCGTACCATCAGGCGCAATGATATTACGCAGCGCCTGAAAATAGTCCCCAGCACACTCCCTGTGTAAGCAGGTGGTCACGTTGGTTATGTTGACAGAAGTTAACCTATTTTCAGGCGCTGCGTAATATCATTGTGCCTGCTGCACCCATGGTACGGCAGCAAAGTTCCTTGATTATTATGCCGGAATGAGAGTATAGTTCCTAGTCATATAGCAACTTTTCATTTTTCTTATGTCTTAGTACACAATGTAACTACAGAAGAGTCAAGTTTTAAATAGGAAAAATATAGAAACTCTTTGGTCATTTTTGAGCGAGATGCTAACGGTCTAATCAGATTCAATGATCTATGCTAAGCTACAACTAAAAGTGCTACCGCCAGACCCAGAGATCGGCTGAATTGATTCGAAAACGTAATACTCAACTGTTTAACTCTAGGGGAGTTGGAAAATGAGCCTATTTTCAAAAACAGTGGAGTGTTCCTTTAAAAATAGATCCAGTTTTAATGTAAAGTCACTCCAATTGAAGGGATTAGTGTAACTACTTAAATATGTAATTTATAATGTAAAAATTTTTTTTTTATAGTTATAAGACTTAAATTTTACATTTAAATTTAAAATTGTCATTTTCTACCAATTGCGTCCAGTTTGGTTTTGGCAAAAAAAAAAAAAATTGGGTGCATGACTATATGTATACAGTATTTTAGAGTATTATTTATAGAATGTATTAATATTTTGAGTTAGGATTTATTTTATAAGATCAATTTTCATTTTCATTTTAGTATAAATAATTTTGTTATGTGTTTTTGTCATTGTGTTTCTTATAGTTATAGCTTTAATTTATTTTTATTGCAGTTTTAGTCATTTTTGTTCTTCAACTAAAGCATATTTATAAGTATTAGTAGTAGGTTTTTCATCTAATATTTTATTTTATTTGAGTTTTGTTAGTTAATAAATTATTTTTAATAGTTTTAGTTTTATTTAACAATAACAACAGTGTATTGCTGATGTCACTTTATTGAGATGTCTCTTTAATAACAGGAAACAAAAGACAGACTAAGAGAAACGACTGCCAAGCTGACTCAAGCAAAGGAGGAGACTGAACAGATTCGCAAAAACTGCCAGGACATGATCCGCACATATCAGGTACTGTTTACATATAATGGCATGAAACCAGTACTGCCCACTAGAGGGCACCATATACAAACATATGCCCTGCATGTAGAATGCAAAACATGAGTTGGAGATACATTTGAAGTAGTTTATTAAAAAAGATTGCTTTAGTCCTCTGCTCAACACAATTTGAGTGGCTTATCTTCATCTGTGGGGTATAGCTAATTTGCCGTTTCTGTTGCTTGTTATAAACTTCAGTGATTATACTCTCTCTCTCTCTCTGTCTCCTGCAGGAGTCTGAGGAGATTAAGTCAAATGAATTGGATGCAAAGCTGCGAGAGACCAAAGGAGAGCTGGAGAAGCAAAAACAAGAGCAGACAGACCAGCTAGAGGTACTGGCATAATATAAAGCCCTAATGACATCAGTTTCTTCATTTCTAATCAAGTAATGTGCTTCAGTAGAGAACGGAGGTCTCGTAAAAGTTACCTTTCGGGGGGGCAGGTGTTTGTTCATATTACACCTCATATGTCTTTGGTTTGCTTCTTTTAGCGGTTCTGCCACTTGACCTCTGAGATAAACTGTTTGGCCCGTATGGCACTTTGCCACCTGCTTTTTAAATGTATTTAGGTGTAAATGAGCCTCCATTCACCAAGCATCATTAGTACCTGAGGCCTACAATGAGAGTGTGTACTCCCTTATCAATGAGTCGCCCCTGTGCAAGGAATAGTGCCATTTGCATTATTAACATAGTGTTGCCTAGCAGGCGTCCTCTGCTGATTGTGATTGCAATAATGAATAATGGCGATGCAGTGTGCGAAAGGAGGGGTTTTCATGGTCATCTTGTTTGATTGGCAGATGCACAAAGCTAAGATTAAGGAGTTGGAGGATCTGAAGAGAACTTTTAAAGAAGGCATAGATGAGCTGACCACCCTGCGGACCAAGGTGGAAACTCATTTCTAAAGATAACACTAAGAAATGACTCCGTGTAAGAGTACATTATTCTGACGCTTTGGCACTCACTCTGGCCCTCAGGTTAAGTGTCTAGAGGACGAACGGCCCCGATGGGAAGACGAACTCTGCAAATACAGAGAGATCATTAACAGACAGAAGGCTGAGATCCAGAAACAGAGGGAAAAACTCACCGCCATCACGACACTAGAGGAGCAGCACCAGAGGTCTGAACACTTGTGCCTGCAGCAACCTACCACCGACCATGTCTATTATTAGTTCAGCTACCAGAGCCTCTCATAGAGCCTAAGCTGTACACTGGAGCATACACTGATCATTAGGACTAGTTTTTCCGGTCTTGAAATTAGATTAATTTGTTGAGGCTGAAGTTGTAACAATACCAATACCAGTGAAATTTTTTAAACCAATTTCAAAATGAATTTTCTATTGAACATAATCCTTTTAACTATTTTCAAAGTGTAGTATTAATGCCAATAAAATTAGCAAATTGAACCTAACTGTAAAGTGTTACCATTAATTAACATTGAACATATCATTAACTATAAACAATTTCTAAAATAATTTATTAATCTAGGTATACAAGTTCTAAAAATATTATAAATATTGATAAATAAACTGTGCTAAATATACTATAGTTAATTGTTAATTCATGTCTGTCGATATAAATAGAAAGAATTGTATAATAAATAACAAATAATTTGTTATATACAGACAAACACACACACACACACACACACACATATATATATATATATATATAATATTGAAGTTATCTTTAAGATTAATAGATGTTGTAAATAATTCTTTAAAATGTTACTATTAATTGTTCATTGTGGAAAATACTAAATAATACATTAAAATAATAGTATAAACTAAAGCCTTTTAAAAAATAAAGTAAACATTAAGTAATAAAATGACGCTCAAAGAAAAAAAAACTATATGACATTAAATAGACTAGTGTTGTTATTGTTAAGTAAAATAAACATTAAAAATGCGTTGTTAATAATTGTTGTTAATTGAAATAAAGCTAAAATAAAATAAATATTAGATAAAAAGACTAACTGAACTGAAACTAAATGAAATAAAATGTTAAGGTGAAGTACTAAAATCACCTAAATTAAATTATTTAAACTGCAATAAAATAAATAAAAATACACATCTATATAAAAAACAATAAAGATGACAAAAACACAACAAAATTACTAATATTAATAAAAAAGTTAAAAGCTAAAAATAATGCTAATACACCATGACACTGGACTTTACTCCCATTGCTCAGCCTTATTTTTGTTTATGTGCATATAAATATGCAGTCTTCTCTACTCTATAATAATTCTGAAAACACTACAGACTTTGTTCTCATTAGCATGTTTGAATGCCATCTGCATCCCACTTTCAGATCCTTAGACCTATTAATTTTGCCATGCTTCTGTTGAGCATGAAGCATCTGTACATCAGCCTGACCTTGAGTGATCTCCCAGGGGTTGGTGGACCCTGCTGATGCAGGAACTGCAGGTGGATGTGAATCCACTATAGTGTGATCACACGGGCCCCTGCGGCACCGACAGAATAATTCATATCTCCGTGGCCGCCTCACAGGAGCTGCTCTGATTTCACTTCTGGTGGCCACATAAATGTGTCATTCAGCCATATTAGCTCATTCTTATTTTGAGGGTATTTAAAAACTACTGCAGATGAGTTATGTGTATTCCCAAGAATGACACGCCTTGTCTTTAGTGTATTGATTTAGAGCAGTGGTCTCAAACTCAATTCCTGGAGGGCCACAGCTCTGCAGAGCTTATCTCCAACCAGCTCCAACTCACACCTGCTTGGAAGTTTCTAGTAATCCTGAAGACCTTGATTAGCTGGATCAGGTGTGTTTGATTAGGGTTGGAGCAAAACTGTGCAGAGCTGTGGCCCTTCAGGAATTTAGTTTGAGACCACTGATTTAGAGCCTTCAGTCTGACACTTTTATGGTCTGTGCAGTCATTTAGTCAGGTGGGAATACTGGTACACCATTAAGATGAAACTAGACAAGGGTGGAATTGAAATCACTTAAATAGCACGGCCTGTACACGTGTTGGTCCTCGTGTCTGATGTGTATGTGTCTTTTTTTAGGGATGATCAGGAGATTGCATCCTTGCGGGAGGAGGTGGAGAATCTGAACTCCCAGATCACTGACTTGCAGAGGGACATTGAAGGAAGCAGGACAAGAGAGGCGGAGCTACTGGGCTTTACTGAGAAAGTGACCAGTAAAAATGCTCAGCTGCAGTCTGAGAGCAACAGCTTACAAGCCCAGCTGGACAGATTGAACAGCACCTCTAGAGAGCTGCACAGCAAACTAGAGGAGACCGAGAGAACCCTCTCTGAGACGGTAAGATGTTTGCTTGTGTTAAACCGCTCTATCAGTGTTGGGGAGGTTTCTTGGAAACCGTACCATGCAAAGTAACAAGCTACTTGCAATTAAAAGTAGTTGAACTACAGCCAAGCAACTCTCAAAGTAGTTGGCTACAGTACAAGGCACTAATAAAAATATTAAAATCTACATTTATTCAAGCTGTTTAAAAGGTTAATATCTTAATTATATAATTATCAGATAATTTATTAAAACTGTCCGCAATATTTATTTGGCATATAAACATTTATCTTAATTAGGGGAGAGCATGAAGCTTGAACACAAATGTAGACTAAATGCAATTAATAATAAATAATCATTTTTGTATCTGAAGTGAAAATTTATTCACCACAGAAAAGGAACCGTAAAATGTCACTTAGGAACACTACTGAGTAATGACTGAAATTAAACTATAATGATCTAATTTATTACAATGAGCCCTTGCAATGAAACAAATCAGATTACTTATTACTAGCTACAATGCTACCTGCTGGAATAAATAGATAAATTCTTTGTTTGCTACTGGAAAACCTACACTATTATCGAAATAGCTAGGATATTGTCACATTACTGAAAACGTTGATTGCGTCGCTACTTTTGGTTGGTTACATCCTAACAGTGTGCACTAGTTTGACAAAGACATCTATATAAGTGTATTGACTGACCAGTTAAATTACAGATACACAAAACTTTGGCATGTTTTAGATGCCTTTCATTTTGAAGCATTTTGTGTATGTTTTCGTTGATTGCGTCGCTACTTTTGGTTGGTTACATCCTAACAGTGTGCACTAGTTTGACAAAGACATCTATATAAGTGTATTGACTGACCAGTTAAATTACAGATACACAAAACTTTGGCATGTTTTAGATGCCTTTCATTTTGAAGCATTTTGTGTATGTTTTTAGATGGGAAAATTGAAGAAAGAGGAAAAACAAAGGCAGGAGGAAGTTCTGGCGTTGCAGACAGAGAGAACAACACTACAGACCGAGACATCACAACTAAAGACACGTGTGGAGGAATTACGAGACGATCTGGTCACTCAGAAGAGAAAACAGGCAGCCAACATCAAAGACCTCACCAAGCAGCTCACGCAGGGTTAGCGCTTTTCACAAGCAGCTCAAATCATTTTCACTATTTATTGATTTACATTTATTTCTATGGATTGATTTATTTTATTATTCTTTATTCCTGATTCGTTATTTATAGATTTTATTTATTATTTATTTTATTTTATTGTTTTTATATTGAGGCCAGAAATAGTGAGAAACTATCTCAAATGCAGCCACATGTTTTTGCAAAACAAGCTTTTCATGGTCAAGAAGGATGGGAAGCATCAAACTGGCTTGGAACCCATATTTTACCCTAGCCACCAAAATTAACAAGGATGTTTACTGGAAAAATAAATAAATAAAGCAAAAATAGAATTTGTTAATTTTAAGTGGCTATATATACATATAGATATTTAAGACAAAGGTATATTAGTGTAGTCTCGGTCTGCTGCATAGTTTGTTCATGTTTTCAGAGGATGAGAGCATGACACACAACAGGTCCATGCTGGCATCTTCCTAATTTGGCTCGCTTCTACCAAGTAACTCCAGCCAAAATACTGTTGGACGCACAACCTTTGACGTCAAAAACATTCTCCTCCCTTTTAAAAATGTATTTATTTCTTATCCTAAATATGCACAATTGTAAGTTAAGTTTCATTTAGCATTGCTTTTTTCTCATGCTGTTTTATCAGAGCAACCCTGCAACCCATTTTTGGTTTGCGATATGACCCACTAATTAAGAACCACTGATGCAAATGATTTTTATGCAAAATGAAAGACAATAAAGTAACAAATCATAACACAATTACAAAAAATGTCTATATCATTCCACTCTCATATTGTTTTTCTCCTCTGTGTCTAGATGTCTTAAATAGAATTCGATTTGTTATTTTAATAGGCTCGCATTGAGTTACTTCTCCACGCTTCCAGAAGCCCACAGGCACTGTTAGTAATTATCAAGCCATGTTGACGCTCTCGGTGGAGCAGGCTGACGTTCAATGCGTTTATGTATCTGTGCCTGACTGTAGCCACAGGAAAGGCTAGGTTAGGGCACAAGACTGTTTCATAGTGTCTTTTCGTTGAGAGAAGAGACAAGGGAGGACAAGGGAGTAGAATGTGCACCTCTCTTGAGACTCTCTTTAGTGTCGGAGGAGGCATACAGTACGTGAAGATATTTTTAAACAAATCAATTTTTTTTCTCTCCTTTGGGTCCCCGTGATCTTCAGTATCTTTTCAAGGTCTGCATGTTAAATGTGAACCTTAATTCTGCATAATTGACGGATACTACAGATGTGCCTTGTGGGTGGTCATTTTCTGGTGGGTCATAACCCCCCCCCACCAGCAAGTGCAGCACTAGTATGAGGCACTGAGCGGTAGATACACAAAACTTTGGCATGTTTTAGATGCCTTTCATTTTGAAGCATTTTGTGTATGTTTTTAGATGGGAAAATTGAAGAAAGAGGAAAAACAAAGGCAGGAGGAAGTTCTGGCGTTGCAGACAGAGAGAACAACACTACAGACCGAGACATCACAACTAAAGACACGTGTGGAGGAATTACGAGACGATCTGGTCACTCAGAAGAGAAAACAGGCAGCCAACATCAAAGACCTCACCAAGCAGCTCACGCAGGGTTAGCGCTTTTCACAAGCAGCTCAAATCATTTTCACTATTTATTGATTTACATTTATTTCTATGGATTGATTTATTTTATTATTCTTTATTCCTGATTCGTTATTTATAGATTTTATTTATTATTTATTTTATTTTATTGTTTTTATATTGAGGCCAGAAATAGTGAGAAACTATCTCAAATGCAGCCACATGTTTTTGCAAAACAAGCTTTTCATGGTCAAGAAGGATGGTAAGCATCAAACTGGCTTGGAACCCATATTTTACCCTAGCCACCAAAATTAACAAGGATGTTTACTGGAAAAATAAATAAATAAAGCAAAAATAGAATTTGTTAATTTTAAGTGGCTATATATACATATAGATATTTAAGACAAAGGTATATTAGTGTAGTCTCGGTCTGCTGCATAGTTTGTTCATGTTTTCAGAGGATGAGAGCATGACACACAACAGGTCCATGCTGGCATCTTCCTAATTTGGCTCGCTTCTACCAAGTAACTCCAGCCAAAATACTGTTGGACGCACAACCTTTGACGTCAAAAACATTCTCCTCCCTTTTAAAAATGTATTTATTTCTTATCCTAAATATGCACAATTGTAAGTTAAGTTTCATTTAGCATTGCTTTTTTCTCATGCTGTTTTATCAGAGCAACCCTGCAACCCATTTTTGGTTTGCGATATGACCCACTAATTAAGAACCACTGATGCAAATGATTTTTATGCAAAATGAAAGACAATAAAGTAACAAATCATAACACAATTACAAAAAATGTCTATATCATTCCACTCTCATATTGTTTTTCTCCTCTGTGTCTAGATGTCTTAAATAGAATTTGATTTGTTATTTTAATAGGCTCGCATTGAGTTACTTCTCCACGCTTCCAGAAGCCCACAGGCACTGTTAGTAATTATCAAGCCATGTTGACGCTCTCGGTGGAGCAGGCTGACGTTCAATGCGTTTATGTATCTGTGCCTGACTGTAGCCACAGGAAAGGCTAGGTTAGGGCACAAGACTGTTTCATAGTGTCTTTTCGTTGAGAGAAGAGACAAGGGAGGACAAGGGAGTAGAATGTGCACCTCTCTTGAGACTCTCTTTAGTGTCGGAGGAGGCATACAGTACGTGAAGATATTTTTAAACAAATCAATTTTTTTTCTCTCCTTTGGGTCCCCGTGATCTTCAGTATCTTTTCAAGGTCTGCATGTTAAATGTGAACCTTAATTCTGCATAATTGACGGATACTACAGATGTGCCTTGTGGGTGGTCATTTTCTGGTGGGTCATAACCCCCCCCCACCAGCAAGTGCAGCACTAGTATGAGGCACTGAGCGGTACAAGCATTGGCCCATTACCGTTACTGAGGTGTCTTGTCTCTGCCAGGTGTGTGTGTGTGTGTGTCAGTATAAGAGAAAGAAAGAACTTATTGTGTGATTGTGCCCTTGTGTAGCTCGTAAGAAGCTGGAGCAGGTGGAGAATGGAGGATGTGATCGAGAGGGCAGCAGCATGGGCAGCCGCTCCAGTTCTTCAGGTACATCTATTTAACACTTCATTAGAGATGTTGAGAGTGACACGCACTTTTATCTTTTCTTCATGAGGCCTATATATAATGCATTATAAAATAACTCATAATGCCTTATACAATCTCTTTTTAGACCTCTTGCTCATGTGATGTTCCTTAATTACAATACATTTTATCCATATGCTTTTCATAAATAGTTGGAAGCACAGTTATTATATTTTATAATGCTTATCTATTCACATAAGAACCTTTTAAGAGCATAATCCAATGAACCACATAATGAACACATGAAATTGGGTCTTGCAATGCATTATACTTTTGAAAGAGCTAACTATGAATAAGTTACGTAAGTTATTATGAAGGTCCACATATATTCAAATAGAAAAGTGTTATTTTAAACTGTAATAATATTTTATGATATTACGTTTTTTTACAGTTTATGTTAAAAAATGCAGCTTTGGTGAGCATAAAAGACTGTGTGTGTGTGAGAAATATGTATGAAATATGTATGTATGTATGTAATGTTTCTGGGTCAGTACAGATTAAGTTACATCAACATCATTTCACTGTCTGAATCTGACAATCCAAAAAAAGCACAAATTAAAAGTATAGTATCACACTTACAATGGATATGTAGTTATATCCAGTCTTTCAACATATAGAAAAGTAGTTCCACTTAATAATGGACACTTTAGGTATGTATAAAACTAAAATACTGTGAAGTTTTACAAAAAAAAAAAAATGTAAATGCTTTAACACAAATCTAATCTTAATATTTATGCATTTAAACCCTCTGGAATGCTGACCTGGTTTACTTTCTTGTAAGTGTGTTACTGTAACCTGCAATTTTTGAGACACTAGTCAAAATTAATTTCTGTGGTGATCATTGTTACTAGCAGCATTTGCAGCATAAATCTTAACCTAGAAAGTTCTTCTAATCTTAGTGCCAATATTCTTTTCTTTGTTGTTTGTAATATTGCTCTTATAGTGTGACTGTAGCTGCACAATGTTTTTCAGGCTCTTTAAATGCACGGGGCAGCAGTATGGATGATCGCTCTCCAGAGAATCAGTCCGGTTCATCAGTGGTAGTGGTGGATAGCTTTCCTGAGGTGGACAAAGCTGTGCTGGTGGATCGCATTGTGCGGTTGCAGAAAGCACACGCTCGTAAGAACGAGAAGATTGAATTCATGGAGGACCACATTAAGCAGTTGGTGGAGGAGATCAGGAAAAAGACAAAGTGAGTGAGAGCGAAGACCGAGTGGAAGGTAAAAGACGACGGAGAAAAGCTCCTTTGCTCCCATCCCAAAGCTTAATTTGACATTTACAAATGAGCTTGAAGCTGCCTTCGTGACGTTGAGAGAGAGATATATATATATATATATATATTCTTATGTACCCAAAGTTGTGATGAAGGACACCAAATAGAAGCCATGAGTTTAATTGAAAATTAATAATGTAGAGGGATACAGTGGCACCAGAAAGCATTTGGGCACTTATGCTACACTGGAAAATGTATGAATGTCTAATAAAATATCAAAATGTGGCATTATTTTTAAATGAATATAGCACAAATTTGCCCTCACAAAAATACAGGAATAGCCAAACCCATTAATTAAAACACAAGTTTGGCATGTAGTTTGTTTAATATTTAACACTGTTATATTCAAGCAATTTTAAGTGTCCAAACATTTCTGTTGCCACTATAGAGTAGCTCTGAGCTCATGGTTTGGAGAATCAGTGCTGCCTCTCCTTTCCGTCTGGTTGCATTTGGCAGGTCATTGTCCTTCTCTTGCATCCTCTCTTTCTCTTATTTTTCTTTTGTTGGGCTTTTTTCCCTTTATTTATTTGTCTAGAGCTTCCGGACCAAGGCTTGTATCTTGTCTGACTTTCATTACAAAAGGAAATCTGGCAGACATTCATCTTTTTCTTTCACACACACACACACACACACTGAGTGTGTGACAGAGAGGTCTTGGCAGTGATATTTCTTGCGGGATTGATGCATCACCGAGATTGCTAATGATGCCTGATACATATTCATACGCACCTTCATACACGAGGAATCAGGCTGCCTATGCCCATTTCACCACAGGAAAAAAAGCATCTTTTTGCTAAACAAAGTGAATGGTCTTAGAGAACGAGAGCACTTTGTTTTTGTCTTTGGATGAGATAAATAATTTAATATGCCGCAGAAGGCTGCGAGTTGGGTTGCCGCCACCGCTCTGGACATAAATGTCTGTCCCTTTCCTGTCACTTGAGTAATGATAGGCCTTGAATCGGTCTACCTGCACTAACCCACATTCATTAGTTCTAATCAAAGACACATCCCATTGAAGTCAGGTTTAATTTAGCCTCCTTAGCTGATCTTTAGCCATTACATGCAGCTGAGCTAAGTCCAAATTCGCCAAGCAGTGGAATGTTTCCCAGTGTTTATCGACTGTTGCCGTTCGAGTGATTCTTTGACACACGGCAAGGTTAGATCTGGCTGGAATATCATTCAAGGCTCAGTGGAAATTGATTACAGCATAAAACTGAGGTTGATTTAATAATGCTTCCTTGATTTAACATTGTGAATACACCTAGATGAGGATTTCCATTTATCTCTAAAGAGATAAACCTAAGTATGCTCACTGCGCCTCTCATCAAGGGCGGTTAGAGGAATTCGCTGATGTTCTGGAATTGGTACTAAGTGCCGTTGGATTTGCATATGATTAATTATTATTGGAATGGTGCATAAGTCGTTGCTATATTTAGTGGTGATTGCTAAAATTGCCTAACTTAAACTTGAGCATGAACAAATCATATGGCTTGGTGTGGAGTGGTATGCTATTACTTTTTGAGATTTTTGTCCAGCGGATGATGAAATGTGTGGGAAAAAATTATTGAATGTTCAGACTCTGAACTCCTCGGATTGACGTGGCTTCCCTGGGGACTCCAGTGATATCGAAGGGCCAGAATATCATCAGAACAATGAAAATCATAGAAATAATGTCAGGTGAATGCCAACATTGTGGCAGTTTTGCACAGAAAAGCATAATTTTCAGAAACTTTAATAATGTAGTTTGAGATTGTATTATTTTATGAAATGACTGGAAAGGCTGGTAACTGATATGGGCATCTTTTGATCAACACTTTTTCGTCTTGATTGAAACAGGAATACGCTGTCTAGATTTATCTTTGATATTAGCTTTGATTTGATATGATCTTTGATATGAGCTCTCATCTTTACTCATGCTTCAGCTGTAGTGCTGGAAACTCACAATCCTCATGAAATAAACAAAGATTCACATTTTGTCTTTTGATTTCTTGAATGAAGACAAGCTTAGAATTCACATGTACAAACAGACTGTCAAATCCCAACTCTCTTTATTTCGCCCTATGTCTCGTGTCTGTTTTTCCACACTCTCCTGGTATTCCTGCTGTCTATCTTTCAGTTTTTCAGCATCTAGGCTGTGAGAATCAGGCCATGCCACTGCGCTTAAGCTGAAACTGAAACAGATCTGCAAATCAAAATCAAATGTCAGAGTGGTGTCAGAGCTGTGGCACATAGTGTAGTATCTGTTGTCCAGCCTGGGTCATGTCCCGATCCAATTCCCCCCCCTCTTTCCCTCAAGTTTTTTTTTGTTTTTTTTTTTGTACAATTTATTTTATTTTGAACTATTAAAAATACAAAAGAAAAAAGCACATAATAAATATACAAATGAGTCCCAATAAACAAAAAAACAATATATTTTTAACATATATTCAACCTGTTCGAAATAAAAAAGGGTAGGTAGAAGCCCTAACTATTAAAAATACAAAAGAAAAAAACACATAATAAATATACAAATGAGTCCCAATAAACAAAAAACAATATATTTTTAACATATATTCAACCTGTTCGAAATAAAAAAGGGTAGGTAGAAGCCCTAGGCTTATTAAATCCTACCCTTCATTCAAGGCTCAGTGGAAATTGATTACAGCATAAAACTGAGGTTGATTTAATAAGGTTTCCTTGATTTAACAGCGTGACTACACCTAGCTGAGGATTTCCATTTATCTCTAAAGAGATAAACCTAAGTATGCTCACTGCGCCTCTCATCAAGGGCGGTTAGAGGAAATCGCTGATGTTCTGGAATTGGTACTAAGTGCCGTTGGATTTGCATATGATTAATTATTATTGGAATGGTGCATAAATCGTTGCTATATTTAGTGGTGATTGCTAAAATTGCCTAACTTAAACTTGAGCATGAACAAATCATATGGCTTGGTGTGGAGTGGTATGCTATTACTTTTTGAGATTTTTGTCCAGCGGATGATGAAATGTGTGGGAAAAAAATTATTGAATGTTCAGACTCTGAACTCCTCGGATTGACGTGGCTTCCCTGGGGACTCCAGTGATATCGAAGGGCCAGAATATCATCAGAACAATGAAAATCATAGAAATAATGTCAGGTGAATGCCAACATTGTGGCAGTTTTGCACAGAAAAGCATAATTTTCAGAAACTTTAATAATGTAGTTTGAGATTGTATTATTTTATGAAATGACTGGAAAGGCTGGTAACTGATATGGGCATCTTTTGATCAACACTTTTTCGTCTTGATTGAAACAGGAATACGCTGTCTAGATTTATCTTTGATATTAGCTTTGATTTGATATGATCTTTGATATGAGCTCTCATCTTTACTCATGCTTCAGCTGTAGTGCTGGAAACTCACAATCCTCATGAAATAAACAAAGATTCACATTTTGTCTTTTGATTTCTTGAATGAAGACAAGCTTAGAATTCACATGTACAAACAGACTGTCAAATCCCAACTCTCTTTATTTCGCCCTATGTCTCGTGTCTGTTTTTCCACACTCTCCTGGTATTCCTGCTGTCTATCTTTCAGTTTTTCAGCATCTAGGCTGTGAGAATCAGGCCATGCCACTGCGCTTAAGCTGAAACTGAAACAGATCTGCAAATCAAAATCAAATGTCAGAGTGGTGTCAGAGCTGTGGCACATAGTGTAGTATCTGTTGTCCAGCCTGGGTCATGTCCCGATCCAATTCCCCCCCCTCTTTCCCTCAAGTTTTTTTTTGTTTTTTTTTTTGTACAATTTATTTTATTTTGAACTATTAAAAATACAAAAGAAAAAAGCACATAATAAATATACAAATGAGTCCCAATAAACAAAAAAACAATATATTTTTAACATATATTCAACCTGTTCGAAATAAAAAAGGGTAGGTAGAAGCCCTAGGCTTATTAAATCCTACCCTCAGTAATTACCGATACCAAATCACAATCGGCCATAATAAATCAGACATACCATTTTGAATAATACAGAAATACTACTCCAAATGATGTCCTACTTTATCTATCTATTAAGATAAAGAAGACAAACAGAAACAAAATCAAGCAGCATTAACAACAATGTTGAAATTCTCACTCTCACCCCCCACTTCTGTATTTATCAAAAATAAATATTTTATACCTTCTTTTAAATTGCAACATATTAACACTTTCTTTGATATATCCGTTTAATCTATTCCACGATATCACCCCACAAATCGAAATACACACTTTTTAGTTTTGTTCGTGCATTTTGCTGTCTCATATTTAAAGCCCCTCTCAAGTTTACTGTCAGTTCTCCACTTTCCTATATAATAAAAACCAATAAAAAGTTAGAATGGCAGTGGATTACTACTATATTGTGGTGGAAAAAGGGGCAGGTTACAATGAATTCCAGTTAAACAATGTATGGGTGTGCGTGCATGTTTAGTTAACTTTTTAATTTCTTTGTGTTTTGTTTTGTTAAATACTACCATTATGGAGCTGGGGTCCACTTGGACCCCATATTAGTGAGGTAAGTTATTCATTTTTATATGTGTACGTATATGTGTGGGTGTTCATCCTTTGTAGCATCAGCACATCACAGAGACTTTATTTGCGAAGCATATGCAAACTTTCCCCGTTTTCCTTCCCGTCACTCTGATAAATAACCGCTTTGAGACATTTTGAGTAATCAGGATTAAAAAAAAAAAAAGTTTATTTGATAGATGCCCTAGTGTGTTCATTTCCGATTCAGACAGTGAAATGAAAGTGAATTCATCAATTCAGAAAGCACTTTAGTTTTTTTTTGTTTTGTTCTTAGGCAGAAACCTTTAGCCTCATGTCCTCTAATGTATTTGTCTCGAGCATTGGTCTGAAGAAACCATTAGAATCGAATTCTGTCTTTATTTGGGCCATGCGTCACTGCAGAGAAAATAGATTTGAAATAGCGGTGGCTAAAGAGAGAACTCTTTCCTGGAGACTAAAAGATCACTACATCATCCTTTATAGAAAACCACACAGGTTGTTTTTTTTTCTTTCTCCCTTTTCCATTCCACCATATTAAATGGACAACAATAGTGAATGGAGATGATAATTACTTAAGATTTCCATCTGCTCGCCACTGTGGTTCAAATTGAAGCACTTAAAGCTGAATTATGTCTTTTATCATCTAGAGTGAAAGAGAGAGACACTGATGAGGTGGATACCGCTAATGGGGTCCTAAAGGCTGCCGTCTTTCCCCCCTCTGTCTCTGGGTTTGTTAGTAATGTCACCTTTTACCTCCTAGCTGAGGGTTATGGTGTGACAATGGCCCTCATCCTTGAGATTTCATTGACACTTAAAATTGCTGTGTGTGCATTTACATATATGCTATTCAACGCATAATGCAATTAAAACTTTGTTTTAAAACATTTCCTGTAGGATTATCCAAAGTTACGTGCTTCGAGAAGAGTCTGGAGCACTGTCTTCAGAAGCCTCGGATTTTAACAAAGCCCACCTGAGCCGGAGGGGAGGTATCATGGCGTCGTTGTACACCTCCCACCCTGCCGATAGCGGCCTCACTCTCGACCTCTCACTGGAAATCAACCGCAAACTCCAGGCTGTGCTAGAGGACACCCTGCTCAAAAACATCACACTGAAGGTATAAGTCACCATCCACATCCACATCATCCATCCCATGAAATCAAAATGGGAGTTTCATGGCTTGTAGGGCATGTCTGTTAGTTTCAAAACCACTTATATGCTCGTATACACTGGGCGAAAAACTGTATCATATCAAGAATTGTGATAAAGTTTATGTTGATGATGATAAACCCTGGACCTTTTTACTCAATGTGGATTAATCTAACAGCCTATCACACACAGCAGAAATAGACAAAACAACAGTCAGTCAGTGCTTGTCGCTAATACGTCTCTGTGTGAATGAGAGGTTTTGTGATGCTCACTGTTTTCAGCATCTGCCATATTGAGTGAATTGAATGGCAGTGAAAATAATAGCATTAGTCCTCACAGCTGTCTGATTTGTTTCTGTCGCTACAGGAGAATCTCCAAACGCTGGGTTCGGAGATCGAACGACTAATTAAACAGCAAAGGGTGCCGGATGACATAGCCGGAAGGAAGTGAAGTCAGTCGAGGGGAAGGATGTTACAATAAATGGCACACACTGTACAACTGAGCCCGTTACGAAACGATTTACTTTGTTTGGGATCAAAATAGTGCTCTTCTCATCAGACAAGTTCAGTCTGTTTTATACACTGGAGGCACAGTTCAAAATAAGGACTGAACTGCGCTAAGGAAACTTACGGGACAAATGACTGGAACGCAAAGAGTTTACCAAGAACCTGTGCCCACTTTTCTTCACATTGTGCCCAACGTCCAACTGTCCTCTCTTCGCCGTCCCGCCTCACCTGTGTCTTGATGACTCAGTTCATCAGGTTCAGAGCAGAACTGCAGTCCTAAATCCAACGACCTGGTGTATGAAGTTGGGTAGATGAATGACTATTCTCATAAATGTGACCCCATGTTCTTTTGAAGAACAAAATGTGCTGGACTAATGGAGACCCGTGGATTCTGCAGCTCTTTAGAGGCTTTCAGAGGCTTTTTCTTTATTCATTGCACCGCAGGTTAATGGCCGCTCCTCATCGCTCTCATTTCCCCCTCATGCAAACGTGCCAATTAATGAATGTATTATGTAATGAGAAGGACTAATCCCACACGCTCTGACCCAGGAGTGTGGGCAACATTCCCTGTTCGAGCTGCTGCTAGGTTACCGCTACACCCGGATAGCATTATCTCTTGCAAAGCACTTAGGCGAGAGGGGCCATGCCAAAAACACAGCTCTTGCTCTGTCATTCATTTGAATGAATAACTACATCTCAGAAATTGATACATCTAGGGCTAGTCTTAAGGGAGCTTGCGGTTCATTCTGTCTGGATTAAGTTGTAATTAAATCATATTGTTATCCCCCCCCCCTTCTGCTTTTCTACCTCTGCTTAACCTTGTAATTATTTTTATTTTTGTGTTCAGCTTTTTTTTTAATTAATATTTTTTTTGTGTATGACATTCTGATGCTGCTTTTGAAGAGCCCGATGCTCCCCAAAGAAACGTAGAGTGTAAAATCCCTGTTAAATGGAGACATTATAAATATTAAGGGAATAGTGCAATTTTAACCCCCCCTCTTTGTTTGTTCAACTGACCCGTAATTGCCCCGGCCAGCGTCCCATCTGAGACTCCCGTTAGCAACCAATTCCGTGGTAATGTAACCATATGGTACACAACATTGTGCAGAGTTGAATCCATTCCAGCCGATTAATTGCGACTACCTGAGGCATCACTGGTCTGCTTCTCCTTCCGTCCCTTCTTGCAGTGGTGCATGAAGAAGGATCGCCCTGTGGGATGCTGCTGATGGATTTTTTTACGTTCACCTTTAAAGCTTATAAGGCAGATGTGTGATGATTGGCAGATCTCAGCCGGTTTGCAATCCAATTTAGTGCCATTCTCAGTCTTCTGGGTTTTCTCACGTTTGAGCCGCTATTGAAAGTAAAATCATGCCCATGTGATAAAGGATTTATAATAACTTGACATACTGCAATATAAGCGTGTCAAGGTCATATTAGCTGTTCTAACACTGAGAGCCTGTGCTGTAGCTCTCCGCACTCCCAAATCACAAACACATTGCAGACATTCCAGAAAAACGCTGAATGAAGGAAATTATGCAATGCTAGCAGAAAAATAAGCATTTACACGGAGCCCTTAATAGCTAAATGAAGACTCTCTGATCTGTTGATAATTTCAGTGTACTTTACATTCATAATTTATTTAATGTCTCAAAATATAAGAAAGATCTCTTGGAGTATGTATGTATGTTTGTGAATGGTGAATTGGAAATGATGAGAAAAAGAAAAAAATCGTGTTGATTCTGTTTCTGGTCGGTCATTTGTGCTCTGCTTGATTGTATAGTGAGTGAAACTGATTATAAATGTGTAGATATATTGTACAATGGTCCAGTGTTTTTAAACTTCTGGAGTCTACTGTATATAAGAAGTTTAAAGGGGATTAAAAATGAAAATATTATAATTGGAAGTCATTTTCATTTGTTTTAAATGTTTCATCTTTTTCCTATATAAAAATATATTAATTTTTTTAGCTATAATATTTTATTATAATTTGTATTATTTCATTACAAATATCTAATTTATTTTCTACTACTTTGCTACTTTTACATTATATTTAGATATGATTATATTTATATTATTTTTTATTACTTTTAAATATTTAAATATTTAGGTATCTTGCATTTATTTCTATTTTATTTATTTTTGAATTATATCATTTATAGATGCTTTTATAATCTAGCAGAATTCTGGTTTCATGCATATCAACAGTGAATGATACACTGTAGGAGGGTTGTTTTCTCCTCCTTAATAAAACCAACTATATTTTTGCCACCATAACTGTTCTCGATTAAATGGTTGCATTTTATTACTCCATTTACTCTTGCATTTTTCCTGTTGTCTGCAGCCCTGTCAGCATTGCTGCCCATTTTCAGTGACTTACAAGACTTATGGGTCAGAGGTCACTCACTGGGTGTGTGAGTGCATAAACCATGTGTCTCCCCCGACCAATTTTACCTGCATTGCTGTAAGTAACATTATGTAACAGTAGCAGGTGATGTCCAAAACCAGCAGTTTCTGTGTACTGGGCCTTGACTTTTTGTTCCTCTTTCCCACAAAACACACAGAAACCGAAACAACAGAGCACTGATATTGGGCTGTTTAACATAAAGAAAAGCTCTCAGAATTTTATTACAAAACTAGTAGTAATAATAACGTAAACTACTTTTTCGAATGCACATTGCATCTACCCCAATTAACTGATATTTTAGGCAAACTGCCGCATTACACTGAGTACTGGAAACTCACTTTAGAAATGTAATTTAGGTGGTGCGTTTCCTGTTGGCTTCAACCTGCACTAATAATAGACGTATTTACACAAATGGCTGAATGTGTTTATCAAACAGAAGCTCTGTCTACATGAAATGCACACAAGTTTTTTTACCATCTGAAGAAACCTACATGTACAGCAATATCATTTTGCAAACAGCTCAACTTTTAAAACTTAAACTCTGCAACTCTTCCTCTACTCCTCTGTCTTTTATATTGGACACTTGTACCCTCCTTGCTTTAAATTCATCTCACCTGTGTGGCATTTCAGAGTCCGCTGGAGGTTTTGAGAGATGGCAGGTTAAAACATTCTGTAAATGGCAAAGAGCCATTGCGTAAACTCAAATCAGCGCCTATTTTTAGCACTTCAAGATAACTTGCTCTGAGACTTTTATCAACCTTGAAACCCGCAGAGAATTCATGAGCCTCGTTCAGTGCTTCAATCTGCGAGGCCTTGTCGTGAGCAACATGAATGTTTGTGAGGTTGTCTGCCCACAGGTTTTGCAAATATATCTCTACGTAAATTTAATCAGATTCAAATTCTTATTTTTAGAAAATAGCATTTTTTTCCCCCATTAAAATGTCTTTATCTGACCGAACCTAAAAAGCACTAAACGGGACAATATTACTCGGCCAAATTACATAATGTTTCATGTCACGTTCATGTTTTTTTTTTCTTTGTCTTTTGCTGAAAACACTTTTAATTTAGTAAATATTTTGTCATATCAGAGTCGTCATGGCACGTCATTTTATATTGCGTCTAATTTGCCAAACGAAAATAACGTTTTTGTTGAGTAGAAAATTAAACGTTGCAAAATTTAAATTCAAACACTAGCTATGCATGTATTTACTCCTGAAGTAATATTTTAATGAGAATACTAACAATGTATTATTATTTTATTTATTTATTTGTATATTTTACGCGATTCAGTGAGTTATTACGGAGTGCTTATTCACAACGTGATTTACATATTAGGTCACGTGAAACGTTAATTCATACGTAAATTCACCTGCACTTGACATTTTAAAAGATGTAAGTACTTAATTGTAATATTACGTTTATGTGTATTATATAGGCTGAGTTATTTAACCCTCCAGCGGTTTTAGTGTGAGGTTGTCTGCCCACAGGTTTTGCAAATATATCTCTACGTAAATTTAATCAGATTCAAATTCTTATTTTTAGAAAATAGCATTTTTTTCCCCCATTAAAATGTCTTTATCTGACCGAACCTAAAAGGCACTAAACGGGACAATATTACTCGGCCAAATTACATAATGTTTCATGTCACGTTCATGTTTTTTTTTTCTTTGTCTTTTGCTGAAAACACTTTTAATTTAGTAAATATGTTGTCATATCAGAGTCGTCATGGCACGTCATTTTATATTGCGTCTAATTTGCCAAACGAAAATAACGTTTTTGTTGAGTAGAAAATTAAACGTTGCAAAATTAAAATTCAAACACTAGCTATGCATGTATTTACTCCTGAAGTAATATTTTAATGAGAATACTAACAATGTATTATTATTTTATTTATTTATTTGTATATTTTACGCAATTCAGTGAGTTATTACGGAGTGCGTATTCACAACGTGATTTACATATTAGGTCACGTGAAACGTTAATTCATACGTAAATTCACCTGCACTTGACATTTTAAAAGATGTAAGTACTTAATTGTAATATTACGTTTATGTGTATTATATAGGCTGAGTTATTTAACCCTCCAGCGGTTTTACAGGATGTCCGTTCTCTTTCGAGTTTCCTTGCTTTTTTATTTTATTTTGTTTTATTTTATTTAAGATTATATTTTATTTAAGTCGTTTAATGGTCATGTTTTCTTCTGGTTTTCATTCTGGTGACGAAGTAAAAAAAAAAGCCCAATTTCGACCCCCTGCCAATTGACTACCTGATTGCCTGAGTCTCTACCTGATTGCCTAATCCTAACCCCTCCCCCACACCTACTCCTAAACCTACCAAGCCTAGGGGGAGTAATAATCTGGCGGACGGGCAGGGTGGTGGTGGGCGGTCAGAACTGGGCACAACACCGGTGTTGTGCCGAATTCTGCACCCCTGCCAGTTTAGTGTCATAAATCTAAACTCTGAGTGTGGATAAAGTGACCCGAAAGCGCCCTTCAGAAAAGGTGTTGAATGGAAACTACGACACTGGAATGAATGGATGGCAGCCAGGCGTGCACAGGTATAAATAAGTGGATGCCATTCTCTCAACACCTCATGAGGCAATTACGTTTTAGTATTAACCATGTAAGCTGTTGGCCAACTTGAGAGGGAAAAGATTAGTGTTTTATCTCCATGATGTGCCCTTGGCAGCCATTGGCTGACATAAAACAACGTGACCAAGTGACCCTTAACTGAACGAAAGATGTGTAATGGCAGTCAAAGCTCAGAAAACTTTTTGAACTTGCCCACCAACTGCTATTAATAGACACTTAACGTTTTTGATGTAAGCAAATGCACCGTTCACTGATCACAGTGAGCTAATCCTGTCTACTTACTGGTCAATGTGCGTTTCAGTGCGATTCTCCTGATTTGAGCACAGCAGCATTTGAGCCTCCAAGCAAATAAAAGCAGGCCCATATTGGGTCATTATGTAAAGAGTCATCAGAGAATGATAAACTAAGAATAATCTTTCTGATTAATGAAGCAGATTCAATGCTGATAAAGAAACCAAAGCCCAATCACATGTGCAGCATTTGTTTCAACACAAGGGCCCTCGTCTGTCACGTCTGTCCAGGTACATATTCCTGCCAAGCAAATGGTTACTAATATCAAGGTGACATGCAGCCAGGAGCGTATTCATGATGTGGGCAGTGTTGTTGTTGTGAAATGCTGCTCTGTTGTACGGTGGCCGTGAAGTGCAAAGCAGATCACAATTCTGAAAACAAAATAACAAATTACAAACGCAAATGCAAGTCTAAAAAACAAAATAACAATTCAGAAAGCACAACAACAATTCAGAAAACACAATGACAAATTCGAAAACAAAATAACAAGTAAGAAAGCACAACGACAAATCCGAAAACAAATTAACAAGTCAGAAAACACAACGACAACTCAGACAAACCGGAAGAGTTAGGTATAGTTTGAGACAGCGCCATTGGTTTGGAATTACTCACCGCTGACTGGACGAGACATCTGTCAGTCAACGTATACAGAGAAGAACCAGCCGAGGAACAGCAGAGTGCTGGTAGAAAGTTCAGAGATGGTATTAAAGTAGCTCAGTTTAAATGTATTGTATGAATTGCCCTTACTATGGAATAAAAAATACGGGGTGT